TCAAAAAGCATTTATTTATCAAAATATTTTCATATTAAAAATAGTTCAGAAGGAGTCCTTGGTGCATAGCTTTTGATACAAGACCGAATAGGATTTGTCTGTTCTTTCATAAATAATGATTTGGGTTTAAGGTTAGTATATAAACTTGATTAACAAAATAGCATTGAGTTCAAACATGGTGCCTAAGAGTCCTTCAGTATTTGTGCCTCGCATTGGCTAACATGGCAAAATCATAAATGAGACTAACTTGATCTCTAGAAGTAATTCAAGGTACATAAAATGGCCAAATTCCATAAAAATATGTGTACTCTTCTATTTTCTTTTGTAGGAAAAATACATGTACTCTGATTATTTTGGGACAGAACTGTATGATACACAGAGACACAATTGCCATACCTTTATATATAAATTAGTCTAATTTTAGACAAATGGGTTAGGAAAGAATGTAGAAATTCTCCCTCTCCTGTGAAATGTTGCCTAAGTGTAGAGGATCTTTTGCTTGATGAAACCGGCCAATTTATAAAAACAATCAATAGAGGAATATTATTTATAATCAGAATGAAACAACACTTTCTAAAGGGTTTTGTTTTTTGTTTTTTGTTATCAGAGTAGTTTACCATTGCCTTCTTCCTAGGGTTCAGAGAGAACAACTGGCCCAAGGTCAACCAGCTGCTTTGTGCCTAAGGCAGGACTGGAGCTCATGGTCTCCTGGTTCTTAGCCTGATGCCTTAACCACTACTCCAAACTGGTTATCTAACCTCTAAAGTATGCCAATATTTTATAGAGACTCCACATGAAATAATATCATTCATATACCAAATGGTATAGCTAAGTAGCCCTGATTCATCCACACTCACAGAAAATAATTTTAAAAGGAGCATATATCCACTTTTCAAATATCTTTCCCATACCCTCTTTCTACTTTCTTTCTTTTTAGTTCACCTATGGCTCTGCTTCTGAGATAAGTAAGAAAACTCAGACCATTTTGTACCACCAGATGTTCCCAAATGTCGACAGACAATACAAGGGAATTCTCCAGTTACTCTTGCATTTCCAGTGGACATGGATTGGGGTATTGTATGATGATGACAACGGAGAGAAGTTTGTCCAGAATGTAGTTCCCTTGTTTTCCCAGAGAGGTATCTGCTTTGATTTCATTGAAAGATTTCCAGCAATCACTTCTGTTGATAACATTGATAAGATGGTAACGGAAGGATTTAAAACATATAGTGTTGTAACTGAAAGCACTGCTAATGTATCTGTTATTTATGGTGAAGTTGAGACTATGATATTTATAAGAATGTTTCCCACCATATCAAAATATGAGAATGTTGCAGATATAGCAGTAGATAAAGTCTGGGTTCTGACAGCTCAGATGGAGTTCACATCACTTCCCTTTCAAAAGAACGAGAATATAGACTTCCTCCATGGTGTTCTGAACTTTGCAGTCCATTCAAAGGAGATATTAGGATTCAAGGAATTTCTTCATATGAGAAAACCTATCTTGGAAAAAGAAGACAGAGATGGTTTTATTTGGGCCTTCTGGGAGGAAGCATTTGAATGTTTGTTCACTGGATCCATGTTGGACAGGCACGCAAGAGTCACCTGCACTGGTGTGGAGAAGCTGGAAACTCTTCTTTCATCCATTTTTGAAACAGGCATGACTGCCCATAGCTACAGCATCTATAATTCAGTCTATGCTATGGCACATGCTTTATATGCCATGCTTTCCTTGAAAGTGAAGAGGACAGCACGTGTCCATGAAGCAAGACAAATCCTTCTGGAACATCATCTCTGGGAGGTAATATTTTGTGCAAGCTGATATAAGGGAAATCACCTTCGGAGAGGTACTCTTTCCCCCTTGCCAGATCATGATGAGGTTGCAAACCAGCCCTTTGAGGTTGATCAGACTATGAAACTAAAGTTATGAATGATAATACTACTTTTATTATAAGGTTACAGTAACAGAATCTTGCAAGTCTGAATATACTTCCTCCCTTCCTCCCTGTATCTTTGTAAGAACTAGGAAGGGTCATGTCTGAGACACTTTCCCATATTACATTTCTACCTTGAACTCAAATTTCTTTTATCTGACCATAGTCTTGATTGCAGCTCTTCCTCCTGTTCCACAAAGATATTCCTACTGTCCATTACAAGGACATGGACATCAGTCAATGATGCATCTTCCTAGAAGGCCCTAATGTGCAATTTGTCTTCAAGGGCTCAGGCTGAGAATTTCTACAAAAAGTGTTTGAATTCATGCTTCCTTTTCTCTTTCATTACAATACCATTCCGATTCATGTTGTTTGCCTTCTTCTGCTGTTCAATATGGAATAGATTTTCTTTTGCCCAGAAGTTCAATTTCAAATTGAGAAAGATTAATGTCCTTTAATAGATCCTGATGAAATGTTCTCTTCCCTTCCCTTCCCTTCCCTTCCCTTCCCTTCCCTTCCCTTCCCTTCCCTTCCCTTCCCTTCCCTTCC